CCTGGTATTTCTCTCCTTACCCGGAAGCATTCACTCAAGAGGATCTCATGTACATTTGTGAATTTTGTTTGTCTTATTACGGAGACCTCAAAGCCTTCACTCGTCATCGAGGCAAGTGTACATTACAACATCCTCCTGGAAATGAAATTTATCGGGACGACTACGTCTCTTTCTTTGAAATCGATGGTCGACGTCAACGAACTTGGTGTCGAAACTTATGTCTCATATCCAAAATGTTTCTGGATCACAAGACTCTTTACTACGACGTGGATCCTTTCTTGTTTTATGTCATGTGTTCACGAGACGAAAAGGGATTTCATTTGGTGGGATATTTCTCAAAAGAAAAGGAAAGTGCGGATGGTTATAACGTAGCTTGTATTCTGACACTTCCGCAATATCAACGTAAAGGTTATGGAAGACTTCTAATCAATTTCTCCTATGAGCTCTCGAAAATTGAAGGAAAGCTCGGCTCGCCCGAAAAACCCCTATCTGATCTTGGTCTCCTCTCATATCGACAATATTGGACCGAACGCATTGTTGAAGAACTTTTGATTCACAATGAAAAGGACGAGAGAATTAGCATAGAAGGTTTATCGCAAAAACTCAATATGACGAGTGCTGATGTGGAACATACACTGCAGGCGCTGAAGATGCAGGTTTATCATAAGGGAGAACACAAGATGGTTTTGCCGACTGCATTGATCAAGCGACATGAGGCAATGAGGGAGAAACAGAAGTTGAAGCCGAAGAGGGTGATTGATCCTTCAAGAATTGTTTGGAAACCGTTCAAGTTGGTGGATAGAACGTGGGGTTGGTAGAGTGGGTTAAGGGGGCCCGATGGACACTCGATGGAGAAGCTCTTGGCTGTCTGTGAAGATTTGGCGTTGAAAATGGCGTTAAAAGTTCATGATGTATAGTATTTAGCGTGCGGTTACTGGAGAATTAATAAATAGATTTAGACTCTTGGGGCCTATCTACGACCACGCGTCAGACAACCCCTTCGAACTGCAGGAAACTTACCCATTCCATTTAAGTGCTTATTCAAAGGAATTCACATATGTATAACAGCTCAAAGGCCAATAAGGTAAAATACCTCAATCATAGCATCGATGAACGTCGACAAGGTTCTCACAGACAATTCCAAAAAATACAAATGCGGGTCCCAACCCATGAAATGAAGTCTCCATAAAATAAAGTGTTATGGATCATTGACCTGGGTATGTTTGATGAACGAACTTTATTTACAATCTTATTTTGACCATGAGGTGAATATGAAGGAATGATTGGTACGAAGATAAGAAATGAGCTTTAAGGAGATGGGATGATGCTAGAATTTCATATTGGTGTACGGGTGGGTTGAGTATAGTGGAGGAAAGTTGCATTGTGAGAATGAATTAGCAATGTGAGTATTTTGACTGTTTTGCCTATGATGCATTTCACAACATAGGAAATATAGGATATTTCACAAGCAAACGAAGTGGAATGATGTTATCAAAAAATTGATTCAATTCATATTTGAATTTCGCGATTGGGAAAATAATTACAAGAAGGTATCTTTCATCATCTTTAGCCAGTTTCTCTACCCAGCCATCTTCCTCGTGTCATCTATCTCTACCTCTACCTCTACGTTTCATCAAACTCCATTCCATGTCGAAACTCCTGGTTTTCGTAATTTACTCGGCATCGCAAGTATCATCATCGCCAATTGAAGCAGAAGTGGTTTGAGGAGCAGCAACACTGGTCTTTGCGGATTTAGTGGCAGAAGAGTGGGAAGTAACTGCTGGTGCAGAGGAAGCCTTGGAAGAAGGGACAGCTATGTGAGAGACAACTGCTGCAGAAGATGCCTTGGAAGAAGATGCCTTGGAAGAAGCTGCGGAAGTTGGGACAACAGCGGCTGGGCTGGATGTTGCGGAGCTTGGTACTACAACAATCGATGAAGAGCTAACTGAAATTGGGGCAACAGAAGAGGTCTTGGCAGATGTGGCTGCTGCAGAAGTGCTTGCAACTGGGGAAGCGGATGCACTTCCTGAAGCATCTGGAGCTGGCATGCTTGAATCATCAGCTCTCTTACATCCAGTGCTCTTGGTCAATTCTGCTGGACATTCGACTTGTTTGAAATCGACAGTTGGGTTATCGGCACTTTCGAACCAATTGAATCTGAAGTTGCAACCTGGTTGAAGGGCAGCTGGGAAGGTTGAGCAGGAAGAAACGGCGGCGACACCACCATATTGTGCACCCCACCCTGAGGAAGGAGCACCGAATTCGGTTGTACAACCATTGAAGATTCCAACACCTCCACCTGGGATAGCCAAATCAAATTGGTTTGAGCCAAGATCACCACCGGTGTTACTGCATTCAAAATAATGTTAGCAGACGCATTTAGGGCAAAAGGAAGTGATATGAATGGAAACGGCATTGAACGTACGTAGCTTGAACAATCATCTTCTTGCCAGCAAGAGCAGTGCTGGTGAAAGTCAATTCATAACAAGCACAACACCATGAAGCCTCGCTTCCACCAGCGATGTTAACGGCAGCATAACCATATGCCAAATCATCGCTAACTGCCCAAGGGGATTGGTCTGAGCACATGTAAGAGTTTCCACCGTCGCATCCAGAAACAGCGATTGCGGTAGGGTCTGAAAGAGGTGAGTCGTTGACATCGCAGGTTCCGACTGGTCCAGAGCCAGATTCGAGAGTAGCTTTGCCAGACCAGGCGCAAGATGGCTTGCAGCAATCCCAGTAACGAGTGGTGGTACCGGAACCAGAAGCTTGAGCACTAACTTGAAGGAAGAAAGGGAGGAGAGCGACGAGAGTCTTGATTGGGAGCTGCATTTTGAATTTGGTTGTGTGATTGAAAGGGTGGGTAGAAGAATTCTTATTTTGATTTGGTCTCGGACCGGAAAGTTAGATGTGTACTTGAAAAGAGTGAATAAACTCGACTTGGAGTTGTGTATGAAAGGTGCGAAAGGCTTTCGAAAAGAGCGTGATATTCAACAATGAACGTGAGGAGCAAAGGTGCTTGAAGGAAGAAAAGAAGAAGTGCTCATGATAGAGAGGGATTATTCCTTATAAACATATAGGCATACTCCATTAAAATTGTCTAGAAGGTTTTCCAATTAATCTATTCATCTCTCCGATTGTTTATTGGAAACAGTGGCGTATGAAAGGAACGGTAAGCGACTTGAACTTCAAATGAAAACCTAATTGAATGACGGCCAAAATGAATATACCCCTGATCTCAATCCTTGATGACAAGCAAGGGATTAGATGATCGTTTGTTCGGTTCATTCGGATATGATGAATTATTTTAACCGACCCAGTAATATTTAACCATATTTTTAAAGGTTGGGTCTCCTTAATTCATCTCATCGTTGGTACCTGCATATAATTTTTGCGGTCTGTATCTTTCGAGTTCCAATCAAGTGTTTTTTTGGAGATTGGATCATGCCAAGTGATAGGGGAAAAATCGATTGGATGTCTAGACTCCCATGTTTTCTTGATTTGCTTAGAAGTAAAAGCAAATTAGGAGATTGAAGTGGATTTGTGACAAGCCGTGCATCCTGTGTTGTTGCTTTTGTAATATAAATCTGGACTGACTCAGGATTATCCATATTGGAATTGAATTAGGCGCTGCTTCATCCTGAACTTTTCAATTCAAGAAGAAAATACCAACAAGTACTTTTGTTGATACCCAAACTTGGTCAGGTCATTCCATTCCAAATGAAAGATAACCTGAAGGCTGAGGTGAATGTAAACTTTACCGTTGCCTCCAAAATGAGACTGAATGTAAATTCTGTGGCAAAGTACCTAATCTCGTTTCTTGATCCTTAACCTAACAAAAGGAAGCCGAGGGAAGCTTTACATCGTACTCTTTGCCAGCCCCACCATGAATAGGCGCAGCAAGGTAAGCACTTGATTGTAACAATAAATCCACGCATCTACTGTACTTTGAATTAAAATGTGCTAAGCCATTCGATTAATCGTCAATTCGAGATTCATATAGTCAGCCTTGAGATCTTCGATCCACCATTGAATGGATCAAGATCCTAGATGTCAATTGTTCAACTGCTTGAAGTCAGTCAGATTATTCTATACCAGTAATCATCGCGTGAAATGTCGAGTCCGATGATTTCGACTATGAGTGCGGCATCAACACATTCAATGTTTATCCTTACTAGGTATTTTGTACCGAGTTAATGAACTCAAGAACGGATATAATATTGCAAGATTTTGACGGACTATCGCTTTTCTGTCCGAAAGACTTCTTGCTACCGTGGATGTCGCTGTATATTTGATATGTGATTGTAAAGAAGCGAAGTTGGTCAAAGGATGCCAGGATTTGAACATCGCTTTAAGGGGGAAGTATGTAGAAGCTATCAAGGCTGTGAATTAAAATGACGCTCCGCTGGCTCTCCGAGGGCCACTGCCGTGGAGGCAGACTATTTGGGAAGAGATATGAGGAATTGAATGTTGAATGTTGCCTATCTACCTACCTACCTACCTACCCACATAAATACATAAATAGATTCTCGGTAGATTATAATGAATATATAAATGATATCATGTGAATAGGTACGAAATTAGATTCAAAATTGGTAGAGCGGAAATAGATCCGCACGTGATCTGACAACTATCTTTTATCTCTCTCTTATCCTTATCACTAACGCTTTCACGCGCTCTCATTCGTCAATTTTCTCGACTCTGGGGTAAGTACGTGCCCGGTAAAGACGCTAGCTTGAATCGGTGATAGCTCGCGTGTTTTTCAATCATGGTACGAGCTTCCAAACTTATGAGGTCAACATCGAAGCATTTAGCTTTCACATCTTCCGAGGTCTCCTTCATCCGTGTCTCCAAGTATCAACCATCAATCCGCTCACCCGCAACTCATTTGTGGAACCATCTTCTTGTTCATTGTTTATATTCACCTAAAGATCAAAACCACAAGAATAGAATTGTAAAGAATAGTACAACACAACATAAAACAACGCGAAAGCAGCAAAATGGCGCCACCAGCTCGAGCCCTTTTCTCGTATGTTTATCTCCCCCAACCTCCCTCCAATTCTTCTCTACCTTGCTATGTACTGGACACTCGTTGTCTTCAACTCGATCGTCTTCATTAACAAGTGCTACGAATATACATACACCTGTCCTAACTTCACATTCGCAGACGTCAAAGATTGATTCTTGGTACCTTTCTTGGTGGTGGTGCTCTTTTCGTCAGTATGAAATGGAAAGCCGTCATGCAAAGAAGTGAGGCCGCGAAGATTGCTGGATCAAAACAGAATTTTGCTGTTGCTGCTGGTAGAAGCGGTGAGGCTTTGCGATAGCCCTGGATTGGTGATTGATTACTGACTGACGGTGAAGGTGGTGGAATTTGAACATTCTTAAAGGACTCGATCGATGACTAGTCAAAATTATAAATTGGGAGAAAATTGGCACACACGGAATCGAATATTATTACATGGGAGATATGATAGATGATAAACACGCATATACAAATGGGGCTGCATTGGGTTCACGATGAAACAGAGAAGGCATAGTCTAGGGCGTTTGGGAATCATTCTGGTGACGACGAGAAAAACATACAGAAATGCCTTGAGTTGGATGATAAGATCACTATGTTACTCCCAATCATGACATTTGGCTAACATGCTCATACCGATAAAGATTCTGAACCTTCTCAGATACCATTCCTTCCCAAGACTTCACCGGTAGGCTTCTTTTGGGATTTGTGTTTGAAAAGGAAACTCATGTCATTCAAGTGAGAATATGAGAGCATTTCAATCGGTCAATCAATAGAAGTGAGAGAATCAGATTCCGAGTTGAAAAATACAAATTCCGGTCGTCTAGATTCTACTTGAGATGAAAGAGAGATACGCTCATGCGCAGTGTAAAGTTGACTTCAATGCAGTGACAAGGAGCTGATATCTTTCAATTCCATCACACAAGTCTGTCAAAGATAATTCGTTATTTTTCTGTCTCCCTCCTCTCTTTCTCTTTCTTTTCCCCTCTCTCTTCCTCTCTCTTCGTCTTTCTCTTTCTCTTATCCTGTGTATATGTGTAAGTATCATTCGAAGATTCTTAAATGTGAGGTATTCCTTGACGCCTAAGGCCCATGAAGGTGAACGTAACAATTGATTCTGACTTATTATTAACTACTAGCTACCTAGGTGGGTAGTACACTTTCAAGGCTGCTGAGCTAATGTCATTAGCCTGGCGCACAAATTCAATCATCCAAATCCTCTGGGTCAAATCTACTTCTACTACTTATATTTCATATAGTGAGAATATCATCCCATACACGTATTTCCCTTCTCCCTTCAACATTCCTCCTTCATTCTTCCTTCATTCTTGATCTTTCTTTTATATCCATTTTTCCGTAACTTTTAATACACTAATATCATTCTTTGACCTACACAGGATCAATCGTATCGTACGAATTCTCTACATCATTCATTTCTCTCCCAATATATCACTGAGTGATTAATTTGCTCTATATTTCTATAGTACTTTTCATCATTCTCATCATTCTCATCATTCTCATCATTCTCATCATTCTCATCATTCTCATCATTCTCATCATTCTCATCATTCTCATCATTCTCATCATTCTCATCGTTGCCTTCCTCTTGTATATCACGGACGAAAACATCATTGAAAAATTTCAAATGAGTTTTGATCTTCCGGCGGAGATATTGTTGTCAATATGCGATTACCTATCTCCTATTTCGGCAGCTGCTTTCTCCATATCTTCTAAAGCAATATATCATAAGTTAAATGGTTATTTTGCCCGAGATTTGAATGAAGAAGATACGTTAGCGCTACTGGATTTATTGGCTACTGAGGATGAAATCGGCTGCCCATACTGTCTTCGTCTCCATAGTATGTCAAATGCAGAAAAATATAGCTTAGGATCGGTGGAGGAGAGACGCCAATTCCACGAATTGACACCATGCGTTTTATCTTCCTTCAAATCTCTGAATCATAGGCCTGCCAAAGTTTCTGGTGTAATCTTCAAAATGGCCATGAAATGTCATCAGTTTAAGCCAGAATGCGATGAGCTGTTGAAGATATTGTCAAGAAATTCACCAACTCCAGAGATCGATAACAGTGATGGTGTCTCTTGGCAGATTCGGACAGATTGTAAGATTACACAAGGCTTGATGATCTATCGTAGACAGGAATCAGTTCTCTTCTCAAATTTCATGGTCGACAAGAGGTCTTGGCACGTAGATATTGAGGTTTGCGCGCACCTCACTGTAGCTCTGAACGCAGAGCGTGCACGGCTTATGGACTTGGGCAATAAGAGACTATTAAATTCCTTTTCGGAAGTATTACCACTGCCACTTTCACAGCTCCCACATCACATTCAAGCACCACAAACCCCCCTACCAGCAAGACCAACATGTGTCAGATTCAACGCGATGGCTGGTCAGGTCAATGGTAATCCTGATTTCAATTGGCCCGTTCACAGCACAAGAGAACCTTTGAAATGCGATGATTGTCCCACTGAATACTGCCTCGAGCTTGACTTCAACGACAGTCGAGGAGTTTTTGCAACAGTCACTACGTGGGCCAATCTAGGAAGTGGGCCTCATGACTGGAAGTATCTGATGAGAAATGTTGAGCCACATGCTACACATAAGCGTAGTTTGAGTCGAGGTAAAATTTGCTATGGCTCCTCGCACCAGAGCCATTGGTCTGCTTTCCAGATTGAGGAGGATGGAGAGGCTAGCTTGCTTTCATCGGAGGAGAATAAGGAGAGAATGTATCAAGCACAAGTTGACGGCGCTACGTCTTAAGATGATCAAGTTTATTAGGCGTTTGGTGTCAGAGGTCTCTACCTTATGATGTATGGATTTGTTTGGGACATTTGGACGCGGATCATGGCATATTAATGAGACATTTTTGGATTTTCCGGATGGATGGGTATAGTGGCAAAAGCGGTCATTCTATGATAGTACGAATAATCAAATGTTTAATGTAATTCCTTGACTTCCAATATCGGGTACATTGTTTCCGCCTCAGAATCAAGGACACTCCTTCCGTCAGATTGAAATATGCGAGACTAAAAAAATGATAAAAAGTACATTTAACTCAATTCTTGGACAACACGGACGAGGTATCCGATAATTTAGACTGACATATTATATGTAGATTCTTAACGTCTCATAAAAGCAACCTATTTCACAAAGTAAAATCCAGTATTTCAACCACTTTGGATAGTCTAATTGTATACGGTAATCTAAGACTTCTGATTGTTGAATTGCGACCCGGGTCATTCGAAACTCTAGATATAGAGAATAACGAAATGTTTACGATGCTCAGAACAACATCTTACAAAGGAATTATTATGTCGATGTCTCACCCTTTCTGAACCTCACCCTGCAAGGAAATCTGTCTGCAGGATGGGCAGCTCCTCCATCAACCTGATATGATCTTTCTCCGTCTATCTCTTTTATCCCCTTTTTATCCCCAAATTTTTTATCCCATTCTTCATAAGCATCCTGTACATCCAACTCCCTGACGACCATGGACAATATAATTTTCAATTGCATCATCACCAAAGCCTGCCCGATACAATTCCTTGGTCCCAGCTCAAATGGTCTCCATGCTCCCTTTGTATCACAATACAATTCATCACCGGGTTGTGCAAGCCATCTCTCGGGCAGGAACTCTTTAGGACGTGTCCAGTATTTTGGATCACGTTGGATTGGCAAGTGGAGCGTATATACCATGCAATTTTCAGTCGGGTATAAATTTCCCTCTTCGTCAACCAAGTCCACACCTTTGAGTCCTTGTCTAATGCTCGATGCGGGTGGGAAGAGACGAAGGGATTCTTTGATGACGGCGTTTGTATATGGCAATTGATTGACGAGAGTCGAATCCTCTTTGATAAGTTTCGGAACGGCGGTAGTATCAGTCCCAAATACTGAGTTGTGTTCTTGAATGAGTTTTTCGAGGGCGGAGAAATTTTTAGAAAGGAGATAGTAACACCAGGATATGGCACTACCAGTTGAATCGTGACCAGCGAAGAGAAGGAGTCGGATGTTGCGGGTAACGATAGTGCGGAATTCTTGGTCAAGACTGGATGCATTAAGTCGAGTAGGATCAGCCATGTAGTCCTCTATAACCAAATCAATGATCGATTTAAAGGGTTCTGCTTTGTCGTTTAAATGGCCGTTTGTTTCGGAATTCTTAGATATCTTGTAAGCCTCAAAGCGCTTGTCAAGTTCTACGTTGATATACGCATCCATTTTCCGACCATTGCGCCACTCTTTAATTGGACGTACGAAATTGAGCCATTGAAGAGGGTTTACTTCTTGATTTGCTAGTTTACTTTTGATTTGGTTCAACATGGTGTCTGCAAGAGGGTTGTAACCTCTCTGTGCGTTAAGCTTTGCGTTCCTACATTGTGTTAAAATGTCTCACTTCGCCTATTTTGACTCTCCTATTCCACGCACACCACCTTTATATGCAGTGAATGGAACGAAAGGAATTGACTCACAAAGCAGTATTCCCAATCAGATCAATCATGAACCTCAGATTGATACCATCTAGCTCAATCATCTCTCCGCTTCTTGCCTTTTCTCTTAACCCCTCTGTGTAGATTTCAACCTCATCTGTAATACCGGGCACCAAATTCATCAGGTACTTGTTGCTGAACCCCCTGGCAAAAAGACCTCGTAGATCCTTCCACTCATCATGTTCCGCATCAAACATACTGATACCACCTGAAATACTCCAGAACCAAGTTCTCAGAGCATCAGGCTTGCGATATGCTACCGGAGTAGATTGTACGGCTTGATTTGCGAGAAGCGGAGAAGTGATGATTAGGAATGGGGCAGCGAAGGGATATAAATCAAGATAGAGTGCGCCATTGCGGGAGTATTTGTGGGCGAGAGCAGCAAAAAGGTATACTTTTAGTGCATCTGCTGGAAAACCTTTGATAACATTGGCTAGCTCGATGAGATGGCCGGCAAGGAAATTATGGGGTGGCATTGGCTGAGAGGAGAATGTTAGTGTAACAGATCACGTTTGACAAGGGAAGAAACTCACCAAGCCACGAGCTGATAATTTTGTGAAAAAAATCCGCGCGGTATATAGTTTGGGTAGAAGCCATAGTAGAAGAGTAAGAAAGGATAATAACACCGTAGTCCATATGAAGCCCATGGTCGCGTTTTCTCCCGAGGGGCCCGAGGGGATGCAATCAGTCTGGAACTTCTGGATTTTGTACTTGGAGATGTTTGAGAAGATACTGAAGAAGACAATTTAATGAGAGCTGACGGAGTGGCTGGAAGTGATGCGCTGTGAGTACTGCCAATGTACGTATAAAGTTATTCTTTAAGCGCCAATGATGATCTGAGGATATTGTAGTCTCACTGAGTGCAGTGCAGGTGACACGATCACAGTAAGTATCCGTGGACGAAACTCAATTCATCACACCCAAAGACCTTCTTGATGAGGTAATTGAGTTCAATGTGGCATTCCTATTTCACTAGACCTACAGAGCATAACAGAATGTAACCATATCGTCGCCAGAGTGTTCAGAAAAATGCGGATCTGGCACGTTCCAACAGTGATCTGCCAAACATATCAGAATGGAAATGAACAACCCTGTCCTCACGTAATCGAAAAATCGGGCGGAAATTGAGCATTCCTAGAAGGACTTCAATAATTTGGGTCTCCCTTCAATATTATAATAAATACAAACAATCTTAAGTTTTAATACAAAGAAGCCTCAAATTTTTGTTTGGCTTCTTCGGATTTTAGTATTTAATATAGAATAGATTTATAATTCAATTAAAGAAGTTCTTCGAAAATGTATTCAAATTCTGCCTGTTCTTTTTCGCTTATGTAGAAGAGCCTGTCTATCTACATTCCCTCGAGATTTCCCTGACAACAATGTTATTCATTGATTTGACCCATATAAACCTGACAAAATCAAAAGTTTGACTAGACAGAAACTCGTACCACTATAAAGTGTGCAACTCCATTACTGAGGAAACCAGGTTCGTCCTCTTATACTCTGTAATTTACTATCTTGGCACAGTGCTACATGCATCTAGCTTCGGAATTGCGACTGTTACATAAGTTCCTCACGATCGCGAAATTCTAGATAAGTTTGAACATCATAGAATTGCTGATCAGATTTATGCAGGGGAAATGGTTTATTGTCAAGATTATTGATTTATTCACGTTGAAGCTTCTTTTCAAGCTTATACACGGAGTCTGGAGTGATAAGAACTGCACTTTTCAAGCATGGGAAAACTGCGAACTTCATGGAAAAGCTAGAATTTACCCTTATCTTGTATAGGTGGACTTTTAAGGTTCATTCATAGCCATCTCTTGTCGATCTTGTATAAGTATGGTTTTCACATTCTAGATTCAAAATATTCTCGAAATTTATCACTCACGGCTGAATGGACCCTTGAACCTCAAAAACCCGATCCATGAGGCCATCAAGCTTAGTTGACATATTTTGACTGATGTTTGACTTCAAGTCTCGAACAACGCCATCAATATTTGAGGTTCTATCTCTCCCTTTACAAAGGTAGGTCATTATTTGGATGAGCTCTATCACGTTTCGCCGCGGAACTGAGTAGGACAATAGCTCAAGAATCAGTACAAACAAGATTGGCCACTCCCGAAAATCCAAAAAGAATCAAAACGCGTATAGTATCTCCCGACTCTTGTACAACTTCACGGCATATGAATGAAACATTCGATATACTAAATCCCTCAAATTAAGTCATATATTGAGAACACTCACGTTTCAGTATCCTCTGATGATATTGATTCATTCCGAGATATAGATAATATAGTCTTCATAATAAATTAAAGGTCTTCAAATGTAGCTGTTTCGTTTTTGATTCCAAATAATAATTCTTTGGTTTAATGTCGAACATTGAGAAGGGTGTATATTTTTAGTATCCCAGTCCTTCGGTTCTGCTGCAGGGCAAACAGTCGAGGTAACTAGAGCACACCAGTCCACACAATAATTCATCCACGGCTGAACTATGAACTATGAACTATGAACTATGAACTATGAACTATGGACTTCAAAACTCGGCTGAGAATACTCATTACAAGAGCATGTTTTGTTATACCCAGTAAGTACAATCAGGGAACGAAAAGTTAGGGACTGCCGGAAGTTGCTATTGGACAGGTTGTGGTTGACATACGTTCCGGAATATAAGAATACGATATCCGATATATAATATTTCTATTGCAGATGGGATTGAGTAACTTTTTGCCTCTAGTTCATCTGTTAGTTGGGAATCATCATCTATTAACGTTAGTTTGAAGTGGACGGTCGGCAAACAATCAGCGGAAGCTATTGTCACTATTGGACTCCCTCATGTTGAAAGACTGCTTCTTGGGAGAGGCTTTCTGGTCTCCATTCTACGCTGCTGGAACAAACCTCGTCATTGATTCCCACATCTATTTTTTTGCCGCTGCCGGTATCTATTCGCAACATGTTGCCCCAGCCATCTGTGGACAAGCGCAATACACTGCAGGCGATGGCAAATTCCCTGTTTTCATCGGCGAATGGACTTTCCAAACTCTTTACAATAATACTCTTGCTGGACGTAGGGTTATCCACGATACTCAAGTTTATGCTTACCAGAAGTGTGTTTCCGGTAGCGCATTTTGGAACGTCAAGATGGTTAACAACGCTGCTGCTGTTGATGGAGAGGGCATCACTTCAGACTACTGGTCATGGGAGCTCTTAGTTGATCAAGGTATTATTACCCCCACAATCAATGGGTCTTACTTTTAAGCAAGATCCTAGTATCTCGTGGTCGATGGACGATTGATACAACAAGTCGTCGTCTGACTTCTTTCACATGTATATATAACTTTAACGGAAGACCAACTTAATGGAAGTAATGAATTTAATCTGTAGATACGAATTTATGTATTACTGATGGTAAAATGGAAAGTGATAACCTAAATTCGCGACCGATCATCCCCCCTTGACCTTCTCGGGTAATTTTTGTCTCGTTCAAAACATTCCTACCTATTCGGGACTACCGAAATACTTGCCGTAACATATGGATATTCAAAGTGTTGCATGCTGATAAACGTATAATGACAATTACGAGCATCAGTTCATATCTTCAAGCATCGCATGCTCCTAGAATAATCAATCTCCCTCCACATAAACGAAAAAAAGCCATACACCTAGTCACTCAAGTCAAACTGTACATTGAAAACACGGGAACTTCAATATCAGACACATCATTTCATTGTCACTATATGGGGCGTCACTTTGTTACCAATCTACCACAGGGCTCACGATATACCTTCGTATTCAATAACAAAAATGGGTGATAATGATAAAGAGTAAGAAGATCTCTAATAAGAATTCTCGTTTCAACACTATCTCCAAACTCTAGAACAAATTTCAGGCTGTCCCTATTTTGAAGATCCCTATTACCCCACACTCGAAACGGCTACACGTTGACGATACCCCGCTTGCCCCGCACACCATTCCGCCCTCATTCCGCACATATTTACTGTAGAAAACATATATACAGTACCTACCTAGGTATCTATAAACCAGTTCAATCGTTATCCCAAGCTTATTGACCGAATTACATACTCTCCCCTATTCCTCTAATATCAACCACATCTCAAGCCCCAATATTATCTGACTCTCATATATACCATTCCATAAGCTATCCTTGGAAGGATGGAAGGTACGTGTCTTTGCGGCGCCATAACCGTAATAATCAACGATTCGGAACTCTTCTCTCGTCCAAGAGGTCATTTATGTCATTGTCTGAATTGTAGGAAGACGGCCTCATCGGGTATGTGGAAATATATCAGTTCATGAGAAAAACATTGACAATGAGGCTAGCATTCGGAAGTAATCTCACAATCGAGAGTGAAAAAGTGACGATTAAAGGGGCTAAAAATATGAATGTATATGAGGACTATGATACCTCGAGCGGAAAATGTGTTAGGAGGCACTTTTGTAAAACATGTGGAAAGTGAGTTTTTTATTTCATATTCAGTTCACGTCTCCGAGTATATATCCTTAGAGGTTTCTCGCTCCAAACCCAATTATGAGCGGAGTTGTTGACAAAATTCGTAGTCCAATTCAATCAATAGCCGAAGCATATCCTGGTAAGACCATTTTGAAGATGGGAATCTTCGAGAAAGTCATGACGCCAGAATGGGAAAGCTTCGTGAAGGATAGACATCCATGGCTACCAGCATTGGAAGGAGCGGTGCAATACAAGTCGAAAAGTGGTGGAGAGAAAATGGAGTAATGCATGGTTGTTTTGATCATTCGAGTTTAATGTATACCGTATATGGCTATGAATAATATAATAGTTGGTGGAGATGGTTCATTTGCCATGAAATGTAGGTAACCTTACGTTAATTTGAATGAGCATACATGCTCTATATAAAATTTGGTAGATGTCTCAATGATTGACCTCAGCAGAGACCAACCAGACCCAAGGCTTAGCTACGAGCTCCTGTTGATTTGCACCATTTCTTCTGTTGGGCAGCATACCGAGTTCCTCTTCAGACGTGTGTTGAAATTCTGATTTGATCGGGGTTCTGCCCCATCTAGAGGAGGATGTGGTAGGATGTAGTGGGATAATCCAACACCACACCAACCTTTGTCTAGTGGACTTGAAGTCCAGGACGAGTGCTGCGACGAACAATCGAGTTTGCTACGGGTAGCAAGTACGATCGTTGAATATGGACCTTGTCAACCTCATTCTCATCTTCAACCTCATCTTCCTTTAAGCGAGACTAGGTTAGGCGCATTCTCACGCTCGAAGTGAGATGCATCAATCAAGTCTTGATAAATCAAACGAACTCGAGGCAATCCCCTCTTCCACCACGTAATGAACAAAACAATATGTATAATGAGAAAAGTTTATGGTACTTTTTCATTTTTCAATTCGAATCCAAGAATCAAACACTTTCAAAGTCCATATTTGAAATTGACAATCCAATACTTCTGATGGTTCAAGTCGGATGTGATATTCAAATGCTTGGGAATCCCTTCTTGATCCGTAGCTTATTTCGTCCATCTGGACACTTCTCAAAGTCTAGAAGATTGCAAACCAAGGGGTATTTCATCCAACACACAACGCATCGTAAATATATCCACCATCTTTCGAAGGTCAAACACAACATAATTACATGTCCCCTGAAGGTATCAAAATTATTTCATTATATCACTGCATTTCTATCTAAGCTAATAAACCCCATAAGTCTCCATATTGTACAATCAATGGATAAGCCCACTCCTTAACCCCAAGTTCCACCTCCACCGCTCCTACCCTGCCTCTTTTGCGCACTCAATCTCCAATCATCTTCTGCCGCAAATTTATTATGAAGAGGTTGAATCCTCTCTGCCTTCTTTCTCTTTGACAATTTCCCTGCATCCGCCACCTTGAAGAAACTTGGTGCCGCACTCACCAACCACTTAGGATCAATAGTTGTTGTGCAATGCATGTATTCTTTCGTCGTCATTACAAGGGTATGATAAATGACCCATTCAGCTTGTTTACCGAAAAGAGCGGATGAAGGATGTAAGTATACAGGCGTGCTCTCAATTAAAGTTTTGTATCCTTCCTGAGGATCCTTTCGAGCAGAATTCCGGAAGAATCCAGAGCACAGTGCTTGTCGAACTTTATCTGTGTTACGACCACAAGATACAATAGGATGCTTGTATCGTTCCATGATTTTTAATAATTGGTCGCGTACATCTTTTGCGCGCTTCATACTTCGTGCTTGAATGAAATTTTCGAAACACCACGGACTTGCAAATTTATTCTGCTTCCAACTGTTGTAAACGTTCAAAAGTGTGAGATGATCACCATGAGGATCATGAAATTTGGCCTTTTTCTGATCGGCCTGGGCTTGTTTTTCCTTGGGTCGATAAAAGATGGTTGGAATAGAAATCATAGCAACAATGCTAAGCAATTCATCAGAGCAACCGAGGTCAACAGCTGCAATAAGAACTTTTGAAAGAGATGGTTCCATAGGGAAATCTGCCATCTTACGACCCAAACGAGTAAGAAGTCCTTCATCGTCCAACGCCGAAAGGGCATACAATTCTTCCAAGGCTGTCAACATAGTATTTGTTGGAGGTGGATCCATGAAGTCGAAATGAAGCAGATCATTGATGCCCATAGCCTTCAACATCAAAATAGTCGTGGACAAGTTTTGTCTCTGAATTTCCGGTATGCTAGTAGGTAACATCTCAGATTGGAAAGCGGCTTCTGTGTAAAGACGGAAACATTTTCCTGGGCCTGTTCTTCCAGCACGTCCTGCACGCTGTTTGGCCTGTGCTTGGGAAATTGGGGTAACTATCAACGAGTCCATACCGAGTTTTGGATCGTAAGCATTCTGCTTGACAAATCCAGGATCAATAACGTAATAAATGTGATCGATAGTAATAGATGTTTCGGCGATATTGGTAGCAATCACCACTTTTCGAGCTCCAGGGGGTGCGGGGTCAAAGATTTTACTCTGCAACTCTGTAGGAAGTGAGGCATACACAGGAAGGATAATTAACTCCGGAACACTAGGTCCAAGTGCTTTCATACGCTCGTAAAGAATTTCACAAGACGTGTCAATTTCCTCACTACCAGTCAAGAAGAGTAAAATATCTCCAGGAGGTTCTGTCAAATGAATTTGCATGACCGTAACCAGAGCAGCATCAAGGTAATCAGATTCGGGCTCCCTTGAGTACATGACCTCTACAGGGAAGGTTCGACCAGGAATAGAGAAAATGGGACATTCGTTGAAGTATGACGAAAATTTGTCAGCATCAAGAGTCGCTGATGTGATGATGATTTTCAGATCTGGTCGACGTTTGATCGTTTTCTTCAGTAATGCGAAGAGAACATCTGTAGAGATGGTACGTTCGTGAGCTTCGTCCAGCATGATAACAGAATATCGCTTCAAATCAGGATCCATCAGAACTTCTCTCTGCAACATTCCGTCTGTCATGTACTTGATCTTCGTGGCTGGACTAGTACAATCTTCGAATCGAATAGTGTATCCAACCTCTTGACCAAGCTCACAACCAACCTCTTCCGAGACACGCTTTGCAACAGACATTGCAGCAACACGACGTGGCTGAGTACAACCAATTATGCCATTGTTAGCAAAGCCAGCCTCCGCTAAATATTGGGTTAATTGTGTCGTCTTTCCTGAACCAGTATCACCAACCACGATCAAAAGTTGATTCTCATGAACAGCCTTGATTAACTCAGAGCGAAACCTGAATACCGGAAGCGACTCTCTTTGATCTTTGATGGACATATCCGTGCGACGACCTAGAGGTTCATTCTTATTCTGAGTAGCTTTCTTCCAAGCAGGTACAACTTCACTACTGGGTGCTTGTTGTTTTGCAGTTCTAAGGTCACTAGCAAATTGTCTCTGGTCTGGATTCGCCATTGGGTCATTCCATTGTGCAGAAAGATCAACCTTCGCTCCATCTTCCGTGGCTTTGTCTTGAGCTTCCTGTTGTTTCAATTCCCTGCGGTCTTTAGCTAGAGTCGTACCTGCCATAGCAGCACGATTTAGTGAGCCATCGGGAGCCTTTACGACTCTGATTGGAGACAACTCCAAAGACTGCTTCGTTTGCCCGGTTAAGAAGGGAGGTTCTTCTTCTCGAATCTCGATATCAACATCCTCTTCGAGCTCCATTTCCCCCTCGCCGTTCAGTGTCGCATTATAGTCTTCGTCCAAATCTGGGTAATCCGATGCTTTTACCACACCGGATGCGATCAGTTGTCGAATCTCCCATCTTTCAGGAGATGTCATTCTCTTCTTGTTCTTCCTCGAATTTCGCGACATCTGTCCTTCGAATACCGGCACAGGCTCATCAATTAAACCATACTCATTCTTGCTACCAAGAGGAGCACTATTAGCCCCGGAATGAAATTTCTCTTGGGGAGCCAAATCCATCCCAGTTTCTTGGTCAACCTCCTTCATTGAAAGTCCGATTCTGTTGCCCTCCACTTTGATGACTTTGACCTTGACAGGTTGATTTCGCGAAACTAGATCCGACGGGTGATTTACTCGTTGCCCTTCCACTAATGCCGAAACATGTACAAGTCCATCAACCTTTCCCTTTACTCCGTGTATATTAACAAAAGCACCGAAATCTTTAACACTAGTGACATGGCCGTCATAAATCTTCTGTAAAACAACTTCATCGTCAATTTCGGGAGTACGTGGTCGTTTGTAATCATCATCTTCTCTTTTCCTCCGGCTACTTTTGTGACTCTTTCGCGTCCTCCCAAATTCGTCTTCTTCGTATTCGCGCTTTCGACGCCTCCTTGGTTCATCTCCGGACCGTGATCTAGATCTATGCCTATCTTTGCGACTTCGTCCTCTGTCATAATCTTGATCTGGACTCCTGCTTCGTTTTCTGTTTTCTCTCTCAAGTTTCACCGGTTGCGCCTTGGGTGCCAAACCTTCTAATAATGCCAGGGTATCATCGACAGGCTGCACCTTTGGTGCCAGACCTTCCAATAATGCAAGGGTATCGTCGATCGCATCAGTTCCATTCATCGCGTGGCCGTTCGAGGATTCGTCTTCGTCTTGCCATGCCGGTTTCTTGTCGGGTAATGCCAGACCTTTGAAGACCTTCGTTTTCTCTTCGACTTTGAGATTCCCATTTTCAGCCGTCACACCATTTCTACCTTTACCACTTTTGAACTTCGGATGCATCGTCAAAACCAGGCGATCTACACTCTCGACTAAACTTCGAGGAAAGTCTCCGCCAATTGCCTCGAGCTTCTTCTGGAATTCTTCGAGAGAACTGCATTCTGTACGTTGCGCAATAACGAATTCGGCGAGGGTTTTATCACTTATTCCAAGATGATTATGCAATTCAGAGGCCACTCTCTGGACCAAAGAAAGGATTTCGAGAGATTCGAGGTCATCCATTTCGAAGAGGGCAAGGTAGGTATTGCTGCTTGTCGATAAACTTTCGAGATTCAGCAATCAATAAGACGCCGAGGCGCGCTTAAACTTATCTCGCTAGTGAAACAAGCGCCAACCTTAGATGAGTCTCAAACTTGACTCCCCCCTGTCAATTACTATGTATTATGTTACAGATCTAGTTTTAATTTATTCGAGCCTATCTTGAGGGTCTCCTTTATGAATACTTGTGGGCATAAAAAGTAAGAAGTGTTTATGTTCCATGAAAGTTCCTAAGTCATCTATGAGCCGTAATGGAGACGTAAAGGTAACACAAGATGCGTCGGCTGGAATCAATTACTCTCTACAAGGTCGCATCTTAATCTTGCTTCTTGAGAGTTTTAAGAAAGAGACTTGAATTCGAAGCATAGCGTAGCGCCAGTCCTAGAGAAAGCAGTATCTAAGACAATCAGGTAGTACCTATTCATCGTCACTTGAAACCAAAGGGAGAAGTTCAGGAATATTCATATTTGCATGAATGAATTCCAAGCACGTCAAATCCAAGTTTGTGGTACGACCTTCAAAGGGAATAATACTATACCACAGCTGGCATACTCCTACGTCTTGCTTGGTCCTTGGGCAGGAAAAATAGTTGATCCTTCACACCAACAAGAATGAACGTGGAAGTCTTGCTTGAATACTTTTTCTGTCAGTGGCTTGAGTTGGCCGCACTGGAGACAATGAGGGTGTAACATTGATCTCTCTGTCGCTTTTCAAGCTTGGTACCAAATGTACATTCCACCACAGAGTCACTGCGCACACAATTGTTATAGGTTTTGGAGGTCACAATTTTAGGGTTGCGCTCTGGAATATGGGTGAGCAAATTTACAGAATCCCGTAAACACATATCAATTCCTATTAGAATTGATGGGATTTTACCAGGAATTTAGAAGTAATACGTGGACCATTCAGTAATCATCTGCCCCGTCTGTCCGCTTCACCAACGACATTCATATCTGCAAAAACCTTCCATAAATTCGAGAATTTTCTTACCTTCAAGGCCGGAATTTATTTGTGAATTTAGAATCACTATTGTATACGAATGTTTCTGTCTCAAATGTGCTCCTAAATCACCTTGCAAGAATGACACCCTCATTTTTGCCGCCTTCGCTGGTAGGTTATCAATTTACCATAGAGCTATTATGTACCATTAGCTCTCTTCTCCTCTTTCTCGCCAAGATATTAAAAAAGAATGATGATGAATTGTGGCCACATTTCTACAGCCAGCTCACAAAATTTCTCACTATCCAAGGCCTCCCTCCAAGCATGGATTTCAATAGTGGTTAATTCGAGTTTGAACAGCATGACACTTTCGGATTTGGCTTGAACAATGACAAGCTGGTCAAGGTAGAGATGTATATCCCGAATATAGGGACGCGATGGAAGGAAAATCAGGACTCTTAGGCGAGGCATCGAATGCGGCTGATCTTTAGATGATTCGCATACCTCATTCCAGACACTAAAGAAACGACGGCCATCCCTTTCTCAAATCACATCATAGCCACAATAATAATCCCAACACACCACGATGAGAACTTCGAACACATAAATATTGAATATGTTTGCACAATCCTCCTAGTCAACGTTCACCCTTTACGAATCACCGGGTCCCATTCTCATTCATCAATCCTGCAATTCCATTTCTTCTCCTCGACTCTCATATTCGAGACCAGAAGATCCTATCATAAATTCATTACTCATTGTTGTGTTTTCAACATCAACCCGAATCATGACTCTCCTTCTTCTAATAGTACACGACAAATTCAGCATTGACTTGAACCGTGGGAAATGTGTTTTGCATTATTGAAAATGGTATTTATGAAAAATTTGCGATGTGCAACATACCACTTTCTGATTTCGCTAGCGCTCATTAAAGTTCCTCGCTTTTTGGCTTTATTTGATGACCTGAAATCTCTATCATTTGTCTTGAAGGACGAATATCTACTTTCTTGCTGACCTATTCGGGATAATTTTCGATTAGAATCATAATTTTGCTTCTTATTGATCAATCGATACGATTTAACAATTTTCAGATTGCTTCCAGACGTTGATATAGGAGTTTGAAGAAGCTGTCACTTTTCAAGGTGCGACGTGCAACAAAATTATTCCAATGTAGCTGGCGTTCTTTTTACCTTTCCACTGAAAACCTTATTTCACATCTGGCAAATCGCAATGCTTCACTTTGAACATAGATTGTGAAGACTATGCTCAGTATGGCGATTTGATTGATATAGGATGATGTAATTTTGCTTCTACCCATGCAATATATGTAATTTTTAAGAGAACAGGAAGTCTGTGGAATTTTCTACATGGATTCGAAAATCAGATCTCATTTCGTAGCGAGATATGCAACAAGAGAGACACTGTCATGCTTGAGGAAACTCTATCTCCATTGTGGAAGAGTGGAAATCATCTATTTGGCGTTTCAAAATCTATCACAAATGAAGCAGGTATCATATCCTTGTAGGTTTTTTATGATAATATTCTTTTGCTTATTCCATTAATGAGCATATCATTCAGAGCTTTGCAGTGAACTGTGCGAGTTTGAAGTGGGTGGTTGAGAGGGGGCCTACCTTGGAAAATACGATATGCAACAAAATTTATTGCTATGAAGTAGTTGAACTCTCTTTAAACCTTCTGATAGTCTGGCTTTGGTAGCGGCAATTGAGTATCTTCTAGGGAGTGCGAAGTAAGAAGAACCATGCTGATCAGGTGAAAGAGTCTTCATGACCGACTGCACTCTTGGTCACTTCCTGGTAATAGAGGAAAGGCAGACTTTTATGGATGAGTAGAAAAGAAGTCATGAAAGACTGTAATATACCAAGGAATGAGTTTGATGGTAGAGAACTGCGTGATAACGCGCGACGTCATGGACATCAAAATTCAAGAATAGTAGGACTGAAAAAAAAAAGTCCTGGCTACCAACTTTACGCCACTCATGTACTCGCAACTAAGTTTGCGCCTTGGCCAGTTTGATGATCCTCGTCGTCGCTATTTCCACAGAGTGTAGGAGAATCCCAATGCTTTTCACCACTTTTCGCCAAACAAATAAGAATTCAATCATAAATGCATCTTTAATTCAAGCAGCTAAATATGTCTGCCTCGCTCATCCGGATATGTACAGTCCTCTTTCCCCCATGCCCAAATTTTCTCGTTGATTCTCGCCGTGCATCCTCTACTTTGTCCTGATATGCTTCAACTTCTTATCACTCCATAAAAAGTTGTTTGCATATGCCTTTGGCGCAACCTTCCTAACATTTGGCTCTTGAACGAAATATTCGTAACCCTGCTTCTCTGCAAACCTAATCGCATCCTCTTTGGTTTTGAAGTTTACATGTGTGCCTTGCATGAAATCGGCCGATGATTGCCAACCCATAAGAGGATTTTCCCAACGGTGGCCCTTGGACAAAATATCCCAGTCCATGCGCCAGTGGTGACCATGCCAATCACCGGATTGTGTGGCGGTTTTAGCAGGTCGATAGATGCTAGATAAGTTGGTATCAGTTATTTACTCGGGAGTTTAGACATTGGTGTGATCGTTATGTAAGGCTTGATGTTGATGGCGAACATACCGAACTGTTCGAGCTTGCAACTCGATAGGAGCACCAGATAAGACTGCAGCTGGCAGAACATCTCCCTCTTCGCTACCATTCATAACACGTTTTGGGATTGGTGTGAATAATCTGCCAGTTTCCCATCAGTAACTGTCCTTCCTTACAGTACACAATTTGCCGTTGCATTCTCCAAGGAAAACTCACGAAGCAGCTTGGTCAACCTCCACTCCGTAATCTGGTTGGTTATGCTTAACTAGTGTATCCTTTGATTGTGGGTGGTTGATCATCGATGATTCTCCTTCTTTACGTTTAGGGTTTGGCATGTTCGTAGGTGTGAGAGGAACACCAGATTCGCATCTCACTCCATTTGGTATGGAGCGCAGCCCAGTAGGAGCTGTTGCGCGCAGTAATCGCCCTGCGATCGAAGGACGAAGGAGTGACATATTGTGTATAGTAAGTCGCAATTGAGGGGAAGATTATTGGATGTTTGATTTCGAGGTTCCTTGAGGCTCCGGGATGTGCTTACATAAGCGCACTAGTGGAGGCTTTCGGAACGAGATTTGAGGGAAGGTTGAAGACAACATCAATTCACCGTTCCTAGATTTCATCACGACGTCAGAAAAGGTATGTGTTATCGCAGAGCATATAATTAATGACATTGCTTATTGCGCAAAGATCAATTGGGCTGATTCTTTTGTGGTAGTCTCCAAGATGAGTTTCGTTACACGCAGAGCTCTTTCCACCCTCATCCCCCCCAAGGTATGTCCTCTATACCCCTCCACACTTCTCACTTATGAACCGAACTAACTCGAGACTAGGTTGCCTCTCCATCTGTAAGTTATATTTATCCGCTACCGTTTTTATTCCCCATCTCGGGCTTTCCATCGATCACCACAACCCCCGAAATACTAGCCGCATAAATATCATGTCTAACGATGGGCTAGGGACTCGGAGCTGCCAAAGATGCTGCCCGTATGCAACGTGTAGTTAGCTTCTACGAGAAACTTCCCCGCGGACCAGCACCAGAGGTTAAGGCCAAGGGATTGTTGGGTAGATACCAAGCCAAGTACTTCGGAAAGAACCCTTCTGCCACACCTATCATTCACGCCTTGATCTTTTTGGTTGGTATTGGTTATGCTCAAAACTACTACTTCCACTTGCGTAAGCCTTTACATCTTTGGATTTTTTGCAAATTACTAGACAACTAACAATACGGGGCAGGTCACCACAAGAACAATGCTCACTAGATGGATGATTAAGGAGAGTAGAAGTTTGATGGAGAACATACGCGGGCATTGTGTTACTTGGGTGTAAATAAGGAAAGGAATAGATGAATACCAGACAAGCCGTTAGTTGGATCTCATGCGTTGTGGTCATTATATTGGGTGTGACGCAATTTGTGCCCTTAAGCAACCCTAGCAATGATTACCCTGTGTGATGGAAGAACCCATTTCAACTCGACAAGCCAAGCCTACACTCACATAGCGCACTCATGATAAGCAAAGCGATGGCTACCAAATATAGCCGTTTCCAAACCTCTTGAGATTCATTACATGTTTGCATCCCCTCCATCGAAGTTTTGTGGGGTTTAACAGGCAATGATCCCTCTAGAAGTATGCTAGACTACACCCTTCATTTCATATCATTGCCTTTACTATCACAGCCATACCTTATGAATGGTCTTCGACGTACTAAAATTTGAAGGAACTGCGCCGTGGGAGGAAATGAGTTCAGAAATCGTTCAAAATCTCATTACTACATCACGAAAATTGACTGGCTCATCGCTTTTCGCAATGTAACAGTCGCATGTGTCACCCCGAGTTTGTCCTACCTTTATGTTTTGGGTTATTTCATGGATAGAACAGCCGATGTAGCTGTGACTCCAAAACCGTAAGATAGCCCCATTGGAGTTGTGAATATAGAGAACCTTAGCACCAGACTTTCGTTCGACATCAAAACGATGAGGTGAGTATATTTCATTGGAAGTACCTACGTATATTCTGTACTGTCTTGACCGGAATTCAAATTTCATAGAAATTCATCATATCAAGAAAGATAAAGAAATGATATATGACTGATTCACAACATGTCATTACCAAGGGTGCACACACACTGACCTTTTTTTTTTGTTCATATTAAAATTCACTTCAGCCTCGAGGAGATTCGAACGCTAACGCTTAACATTATCACGCTACTACCTAAATAGGTTAGAATCACATTTTGAATGGCCCGTACCTTAAACTTCGACATGATACATAATAGTGTCCGTATCGTATGAAAGTCTCCCGCAAGAAGATAAAACAACCTCAATACTTCCTCCCATTGACTCCTCCCTTCTTCTACTTCTCCGGATTCCAGTTACCTAAGATATAAGACATTGCGACCGCCTTTATTGAGGATATCTCACCTAATTTGTCGCAAGCCAACCTCACATTTACGAAAACGAATTCCCCCCACCACATTTACATCTTCAAGGTTTAGAAAGCTTGTACATTCACGGAATACGATCGGGTCAACGTATGCGCAGTTACTTCGATACCAGATAAGCATTTTGAAGACGTATGATGGCAACTGAAGCCACTCCTCAGAACTTCGCGACGTCATCTTTAACTCCTGATCATGAGCTAGTTAGTCTGAATATTCAATGATCCCTCGTAGTTAATCGGAGAATGCTGACATGCGCCTAGAACACTACTGAAACTAAGAGTCAAGATGTCCCCTCCGACAAATTTCTCTCTGTAGATGGAGCGACTGCCGATAAAGATGGAAGTAAACAAGATTCAGATTCTCTCGAAGTCACCAATAATAACTCGGCGGAGGTCAGTGTTAATGGAGGATCGGATACTGAAGCTACAAAAGCGGAAACCTCGAAAAGTGGTGACGACAAAGGTAGTCATATTCGAACAACCTCGACCCTTAAAAAGCCAGTCCCATCTTTCAAGGCAGTTTCAGTAAACAAGACATTTTTGGCATCGAAAGCTTCTACGGCTGCAGTCCCATCGAAGGTTGGAGATAAAGGTCCTGCAGTTTCTAGTACTGCGCCAACAAATTTAACGGCTTCAACCTCAACTACCCCAAAACCTAGATTGGTCGCAAAATCAGGCAGTGGCCTCCGTGATTCGACTCCACGAGCTTCAACTACCGCAAATGGTGGAAAAGCTGGTGGTGCTCCGGATGCGAGTGCCGTGTGGAACAAAAACAGACGTATGTTACACATTATGTTGAAAGGGGGAATATTCTAACATAAGATAGCTGCTGCCCCACCAGAGCCAAAGCGATTCACGGATGAAGAACTCAAGCAACGTTATGGTATTCATTTAGCGACTAGATTACAATCCGATGACCCTGGTAAGCAGGCAAATTGGGCAGATATCGACGATGACGATGATGATTGGGCACCCGAATCAATTGAATGGACGGATGGCACGAAAATTACTCTACCGCACGCAGATGATGCACACCCTCCACCTCCCGAACCCGTTCCAGAGCCTGCGCCAGTCGTAAAGGAAATTAAAAAAACCGAACCCGCACCAAAGCCATCAAAATCGCCAGCACCTCAGGCGATAGCTGCTCCTGCTCCTCGACTTGGGTCCGGAAAAGCTGGATTGGTGCTCAAAGGTGCTCCCGAAAAACCTACTCTCGTTGCAAAACCACCTGGGCCTCCAACGCCTGTCAAATCTCCATGGGCTCAACTTCCTCCAGTCGAAAAAGTGGCCCCCGTCGCAATTGACGTTCCCCAACAATCTCAGCAAAACAGATTCAACCAACGCGATCCTCATGGATTTTCTGGTATGCCACAACCACCTGCGAAGGAAATTGCGGCCGATGATTTTAGCCGAACATGGAGAGAAAGCAACGCACATGCTAATCGGGAGCTGTATAATTCTCAATCTGGTCGGTATGAGCCTGTCAATGAGGGTAGACGTGGAGTTTCCAGATCTGATGGGCAATCTCGTGGTCCTGCAGTCCTTCAACGACCATCGTATCAAGACGGGCCTGCAGAGCCATCTGCCGCTTTTCAAACTCATCACACGAGCGCGCAACAAGGTAATTATGGACGCCGTCGTACCTCTTCTAATGTTAGCGGGGGAAGTGGAAATTTTGCTAGACGTATGAGCCGCGGTCATGATATGCCACCACCTCACGAAATGTTAAATGCACGCAGAGGCTCAATGGCGGCTGTAAGTGATGCGCCGTCTTCACCAAGAAATTTCTCCCCGTCTGGTCAAAATTATCCAAGCCAGCAACATCAGCAACGAGGTTATCAAAACCAAAGTCAACCATGGCAATCTCGCGCATCGCCAGCTGTTAGTCATGCATCTCCTCATTCTACTTATGGACAACTTGCTTCAGGTTCGGGTGATGTGCACATGCATGGTCAAGGTCCGCCACAGGGCCCACCAGTGAGCGCTGCACGTGACGATGATGCTTTGGAAGAACAAAAGATTATCATGAGACGAACTCGTGAACTTGCGATCAAGAGAAGACAAGAGGCCGAAGCCAAAGAGGAGGCGGAGAGAAAGGAGCGTATCCGGATCAAGCTTGAAGCAATGGGTCCACCTCCAGAGAAGAAAAAGGTTCAGGAAGAGGCGGTCAAAGAGGAAAGCGTTCCTACCTCAATTCAAGCCCGCGACGGAAAAACACCTGTTCTGGCCAAATCGACGAAATCGGAGACCTCTAATGATGCCCACGTGCCCAAATCGGAAATCACGAATGAAAATGATGATGCAAGTCACATTGAAGGAAATTCTACTGGCTCCGATTCACGATCAAATGGTGTCTTCCAGCCCAGTGCTTCGGCGCCTACGCAACAAACTATGCCCGAGAACCGAAATTCACAATCATGGCAAAGAAATTCGGCTTCAAATTACCCCGCCGATAGATTCACTTCATGGTCGGCTGCGCCCCCACCACCACAAAATTCATCTTCACGGATTTGGGGACCTCCCACAAATGAAAAAACAATTGGAAACGGTACTTTTAATCCAGAATTGAATAGGCTTCCTGAGATGTCTCGCCAATCACTCTCAGATATGCCTCATTCATCTGCTCATCCAGGACCAATTGGACCACCTGGCGCAAACCGTGGTAATGGTTCTTATCAGGCAAATCGTGGTCAAAACCAATACAACTCCCGACCACCTCCAATCGGACCTCCATCAGCGAACAGAGTACCTCAGCCACCAAGATCATACGAGGATGAGCAGCGAAAAGCTATGGCTAGACAAGTTTGGGGTGGTGTGCCTGACAGAATATCACAAGAGGATGCAATTCTTCATCAACAACATCAGGAGGAAATGGAGCGCAAACGTGAATTAGAAGCAGCCGGTATTATAGAGGAGCTTCCTCAGCCTGTCTACGAAGACACCTGGAAGCAAGTTACATTAAATGAAGACGGCACAAGAAGTAAGACGAAGAAGGTTTCGACTGCTTTAGTCGATGGAAGATCGCCGACTCCTTCAGTTTTGACGGAGAATGCTTCTCTCGGCAATGCTCGACCCGATTTGTCTCGAACGCAGTACAACAACAATGCATGGTCGGGTCAAGAGACTAACGCATCAAGTACACATCGAGAGTCGAAGTTCTTCCCAAGCCACAATCGCGATGTTCGCCTTGAAGAGATGAATGGCCATGGTTTTGAACGATCATCATCACCATCTCCACCTCCACCTACCATGGCTGGTCACCCGGCTTATGATAGCGACTTTGCACGTCCACATGTTGCTCTACCACCTCCATTACCTGTAGTTAGATTGCCACCTCCGACCATCGTTGCACCAATTGCTCCTCCCCGTCCAACATCTTTTGCAGCCGCAGCCGCAGCCCCTGCAGTTCCTGCCATCAGTCAAATTCCTGGTATGGTAGCCCGTCAAGGACTCGCGCGGGCTGGGTCAACTTCTTACGACATTCGCAGAGGTGCACCTTCATCCACCCAAACGGGAGAATGGAAGGAAAAATTGATCAATTGTTCGGCAAGAAGTCTCCACCAAGAACTCATGCTCTTGCTGTCGACTCTTCTAGCAGACGCGCATTTGATCATTCATCAGAGTCGCACACTTCTACTGCAACTGTGGTTTCCCTCCCTGGCTCCGTCAACGATAATTTGATCGGCGAACAAGAATCACTCGACACGAAGCCGGCTGCGGAGGAATGTTTTGAAGAACAAGAGATGGGCTCGTTACCTGTCATTAAAATGCCACAAACTACGCCACCAAACGCCTTTCAACTTGCTCCCCCTCCAAGAAATATTCCTCGAAGGTTCCTTATGTCTGATACAACATCCGCAGAATCAATGCAATTTCCACTGGAGATCAGCAATAATTTCGGTTCTCTTGTGATTTTGCTACCCGGCCAGGAAAATTCTAAATTGGTTCAACTTCCAACATCTCGGACTAGAAGCAACCCGCGACGTGGACGCGGCGGATCAAGACAAACTTCGTCAACACATCCAAGAGGCAGCCGTGGAGGAAGAGATAACAACAATGGCTCTTCATCCACCCCTCGTGAAACTCAACCTTTGAATACAAACAACACTTCTGGGCGTGGCCGTGGTGGAAGAGGATTTGGGAATAATACTAGCTGGAACCGCCATGCTGCCACCCCAGTTCACACTTAAATGTCAGAATAGTTCAAGAAGACACGATAACGGCCATCATATTCTTTCATGGATATTGAACCTTTAACGTGTATTCATAGGAGCAACCCTTTTCTTTCTACACAACACCACTTTTTTCTTCAAAATATCTACACTTGTAACTTCAAAATCCTCATGAGTGGGTTTTTGTTTGTCTCGTCAGCGATCATTAAGCAATTCGGGTTGCATTATGGATCGCAATGTACATTTGCACGCAGTCATGACTTGCTTCTTACTGTTTTTCGAGAGGCATAGGCATA